CGCACCTGGGAGCTCTGGCTCAGCTTCTTCCCATCCTTGTACCATGTCACCTCTGTCTGGGCCTGGGCCACCTCGCAGCTCAGGGTGGCGCTGGCCCCCGTCTGGGCCTTCACCTCACTGTGTGCCAGCTGCCCCTTGGCAAACACAGTCTTGGGCTCTGGGGACAGAGGGAAAGGACACACAGGTCAGGGACTCCAGAACAGACCCAGCCCTGTCTCACAGCCTGAGCCCACCCCAGGGATGGCTGAGCAGAGTGTCCATCATGAGCAGAACATTGCATGGCCATGCCTAAGTTCTATCCTACACATGACCCAAGCTGCAAACTCCAAGGCTGGTGGGTAGACAGCTGGGCAGCCTGTCCTCATCAGAGCCCTAAGCACTTCCTGATCCACTCTGATCCTGCAGGTAACTGCACTGTCACAGCCCACAAGGCCACCACAGCCAGGCCTACCTCCTGATGTCACCACCCTCCCAGCCATTGCGAATAGACCATGACCCTTCTCCTCCCTGGGACCCCAGCCCATCAGTGGCTTCCCAGCTCTACTACCATGCAGGGGGCACAAAAGCAGGGGGAGGCAGACACAGCAGCCCCCAGCCTCGCAGCTGTACTCCCCGGCATCCACCAAACCAGAAACCCACATCTTTGTTAGCCACAGCTACCAAAGGAATGCAGGAGACCAAACTGCCAGTGCTGGCCAATCAGCAGAGACCTCAGAGGCTGTGAAAGCCAATCAGCAGAGAGTCAAGTGCCAGCCAATCAGCCCAGAGCTCAGTAACAGTATGAGTCAGTCAGCAGACAACTCAGTACCAGATGGGGCAAATTAGCACAGAGCTCAGTGCCAGCCAATCAGCAGACAGCCAAGTGCCACTATGGACCAATCAGCAGACAGCCAAGTGTCAGTGTGAACCAATCATCAGAGAACCATCATCCTGAGCCAATCAGAAAAAAAAAAAAAAACAGCACCAGGCAGATCATTGGGAAAGAGCCCAGCACCAGGTAGGCTATCAGGAGAAAAGCTCTGAGCCCCTTGTGGCCCTTTCACAGGCTCAGGGACAGGTCACAGTGGGGAGAAGGAGGAGATGGGGGAAGGACAGATGAACATGCAGGATTCCAAAGGGCCCAAGCAAGGGCTTTAGGATCTCTGCGCCCAGCAAGTAGGCACAGGCAGGTAGAGGGAGCCCCTGCCCCTGCAGGACACACTCCCCAGCCACAAACAACCCCCAGTGCCCAACTCCACCCAAAGCTTGGCCACAGATGCTGAGGTCCAAAGTCAGGAAGTACACAGGCCTCACAGAGCCTAGGCTGCCACAGGTGCCCTAGAGTTACCACCCTCCCTCCATTCACCCAACCCCAGCATCACCCACCTGTGACGTCCAGGTGGAAGGAGATCCTTTGGCCCCCAGCCTCGCAGCTGTACTCCCCAGCATCCGCCTTGCCTGCCTGCTGCACCACCAGCTGCCGCCTGCAGCCAGAGGCCTCCACGCGCACCTGGGAGCTCTGGCTCAGCTTCTTCCCATCCTTGTACCATGTCACCTCTGTCTGGGCCTGGGCCACCTCACAGCTCAGAGTGGCACTCGCCCCTGCCTCAGCTTTCACCTCGCTTTGTGCCGGCTGCCCCTTGGCAAACACAGCTTTGGGCTCTGGGGACAGAGAGTAGGAGAATTCAATTGGTATAAATAAATGAGGGCTCACCTTCTTGTCCTCAAAATCTGGTGCCTGTAGGATCCATTCATTAGCCTAAATTGGATCTTCTTCCTTATACAATGCACACATTGGTGACTCTTTGGCCATCTTGTGGACAGTAAGCTCTCTGAACATGCTTTCTGAAAATTCTTCGTTTACCTCATTTTTGAATGCAGTTGAGCTGGGTTTGGGGCTCACGGCTGACTGGTGACCCTTACAACGTGGAACACAATGTCATCATGTCTCTGCTTCTCGTTGCTGCTGGGAATTCCCTCTCAATGAGGAGAAGCTGACGAACACATGTGTAAGGAAGACCCAGCTTCCCAGACCGACAGGCCCACAGAGAATGAACATAACTGTCCCCTCCTCATGTCCACTACCTGGAAACCCCCTATCCTTTCAAGGTCAGGTGCTGACGTTTCCTCCTGTGTAACCGTTCCACCAGCATCTCTTGTTGTTCATGAAAAGAGGGTTTCCACACTACAGAAGTCCATCACACTGGTGGGACCAGACACACAGACTGGCTGATTGTACCCCCGCCACCTCACACTTTGTCATCTAATAGAGACTTTTGCCTTAGGGACACCTCTCTGAGATCTCCACACAAGTGTGCAGAAACTCTCAATGCCCTGGACTGGATTTTAAAGTCTTTTCTTTTAAGAAATACATCCACATCCACCTTATGTATGATTCTGTTGTTATGTCTGCTGAGATTTGAGGGTATTCCCAAGGTCACATGACCCCTGCACATACTGGACCCAGGCCCACTCCCTGCAGTTGTCTTCCTGGCCATTGTGATAGACCCAACCTGTGGGTTAGCAGATGGAGGGCCCACCAAGAGCTGGCCTGGTGGGAACCTGGCAGGATTCTTGGCTCTGGAGGAGGGTGTCACAGAGAGGTGAGTCCCACCACACCTCTCTGGCTCCTGTGTGGGGACATGACCCCTCCTGCTTATAGGCTTCTCTCACATGGTACTAACTCTGGAACCTCCAGAGCCACAAGCCAACAACCTCCTTCACGAAAATGTGCCCTGGCCTCAGGGACTGTTTTGGTGTCAAAGACTGGACCGAAACAATACCCAAGCCTGTCTTCAGAAAAGGTGCAGGAAAGCCCTGTTTTCCTATCCCTCATCCACCACCCCTGGGGACCTGGTGGCCAGGACAGACAGGACCACAGCAAGAGGTCTGGAGACCCCACCATCCTCTTAGACTCAGGACACAGCTATGGACAGGGCTTTTGGGGCAACGGTCAGCCTCCACCCACTGGCTCTTCCCCCTACTCTGTCCCTCATGCTCAGATCCAGGTCCACAGGAGAGCAGTCAAGACACCTGTCCCCCCACAGCCACTGATCTCTGCCACAGCCCACATACCCACACCCAGGTGGCTCTCCCTTCGGCCTCAGTGGCCTGCCCATTTCCTATGGCATTGCTGCCCTCCTCTCACCCTTGGCAGAACTCCTTGGCCCCACAACACTCTCTGAATCCTGCTTGGTCATCTTCCTCCATGAGTGAGACCCCCTAGCTCCCCAGGAGCGGCTCACATCACCCTCTTCCCACAATGACATCCCATATCTCCCACCACCCACCATCGCCCACCACCCAGCACCCACAAGGTCCCAGGCAGGCAGCAGCTGCCTCTGTGGGTCCCAGGCAGCCCAGGCTGGCTCATGGACAGTCCCAGTTCTCTGTCATGGCCAAGAAACACAGGAAGCCTCCGTTGCTCTGTGACCTGGCCAGCCGAAGGCTTCCGTGCAGCCTTGAGCCACAGCAGGGCCTTGGACTTGAAAGGATGGGGAAACTTCGAGGCTCAGCAGGCAGATGGGGCTGGTCCCGGTTCCTGCACTTCATTGGAGCTGTGCACCACGAGCTCACAGTGGACACCAGGGGACCCTCAGCCGTGCTCTCTGCTTGCAGCCCTCTCAGCATTGGTCGCTAACCACGCTGCACTTTGTTTTTCACTTAGAACCTAATGAGGACAAGACAGGATGGTTTGGGCTGTCCCCAGTGAGGACTGGGAACCACACCTCAGGAAAACTCCATATACTGCACCAGCCAGAGAGATCAGCTCTTGGCCTGACCACTGCCAGGTGGAAACTGCACTGTGTCCTTGAACAGCCTGGACTCCACTGGGGAGAGTGTCTACACCTCGACCTGCCCCTGTCCACAGCCCACCCAGGTGCTCCCTGTCCTACACCCCTCCCAGCCTTCAGTCCACCTCGGGGAGCCCCTCCTCCTCAGACCTGCCCATATCCACAGCCTTCCAAGGTGCACCCTGCCCTGCACCCCACCCTGTCTGCAGTTCACCTTGGGGAGCCCCTCCTTCTCAGACCTGCCCCTGTCCACAGCCCTCCCAGGTGCCCCCTGCCCTGCACCCCTCCCAGCCTGCAGTCCACCTCGGGGAGCTTCTCCCTCTGATCTCTGCGTGTGCTGGAGCCCGGTCCACTCTGCCCTACCCCTGAAGCTCTCTGCAGCCTGGGTTCCTCTCCATCTCCTGATAACCGCCTGTCCTCAGACCTGGTCTCTCCAAGTTGAAGCACTGCAGAGCCTCCTGCCTTTCTCCCTGTTAATAGTCTAAGTTGTCACCCTCCTTGCCTACCCCCAGGAATCACAAGGCCACTCCCTTTTTTGGCTTCTCCAGTTGCTCCAGGGTTTCCCCGGAAGAAAGGTCACATGCCTTTCAAATGTACTTCCAGTTCCAAACCTGAGTTGGTGTGTTTTCTGTTCTGTAACAAAATACCTGAGACTTCACTATGTGGAGAAAGGAGCTCTATTTAGCTTATTATCACAGCTTTGGAGGTTGAAGTTCCAAGACTGGGCTACTCCTGGTGAGGGCACCTTGCTATGTCACATTATGGAGGAAGTGTGGAAGTTAGGAAGGCAAAGAGGTTCTGGGGTCAGGCTCGCCCTTCAGGAACAACCCATCTGGAAACAAAATCACCCTGGGAGGCAGTACTAACCCTCCTGAGGGATACCCTAGTGCCCAGCCACACCCACTACTCCCACACTTAGGAGCCTGGGGACAAACCCCTCCTAAGGATAGCAAAGCTGTCCTCAAAGTCAGGGCATAATGCCCACAGGTGCAGCTGGCTCAGAGCACTGGCCTCTCTGGCCAGCAGGAGGGCGACCCCTGCACATACTGGACCCAGGCCTACTCCCTGCAGTTGTCTTCCTGGCCATTGTGATAGACCCAACCTGATCTTTTCTTAAAATTGGGAGCAATTTCGCCACAAATCCATGAAAAGATAATTTCGGCTTTACTATAAATTACTGCAAATTCTGAATCTGCTTGGAATGCCTGCCCGTGCCTTGAACTCACCCATGCCTGGCTCTCTGACCAGATAGCAGCCCTCTCTGAAACTTTAGTGACACCTCATAAATATTGGCCTTCCCTGGCCAGACAACGACCCTCTCTGAGGCTCTAATGGTCCTCATAAATTCTGATGTTGGAGCCAGCAAAAAATGTAAACTACCATTAGTGTGATGCTTGTCAGAATTCTGTTATCTGTAACCCCCCTTTGTGTAACTTTCTGGGCTATAAAGCTGGGCTGCAGGAAAGCTGAGGTGCTGTCTTGTTCCCGCCGTTTTGGGAGAGAGAGGCAGCCTGGCCGGTCGAAATAATAAGCTTGCTTTAATTTGATTTTAATTGGAGTCAGTAGTCTTTTCTTGTGTCCTGGCCTAACAATTGGAGCCCAGGTGAAGACCCAGCTGAGCACCTGCTCGCCTTCCCTCAGGGCATAGCACCTGGCTAGTGTCACCTCTTCCTGTGACTTCGCAACCACCTCCAACAAACACCTCCAGACCCAACACATGAGATGCCCTCCTGGATCAGCCTGTCTCAGGCTGGAACTGGCCACGTCCTGCTGGTTGACAGCCAAAACACACACAGCTCTAGTGTAGGGCTTCCCCAGGTCCTCCCTCACGTTCAAGGTTCGCCTTACAGAGAGTCACAGTGGACCTCAAGGGGAACCCGGTCCCTCTGAAACTCCCAACCACTGTGTGTGTGTGTGTGTGTGCGCGCGCGCGCATGTGTGCATGACTATTCACAAGTGTGTCTTTAAATGTGTGGATGCACGTGTGTCTAAGTGCCTGCATGACCTCATCCATGAGTGTGTGTGTTACTGTGCAGTGAGTGGATGAGGGTGTAGATCTGTGTGTGTATGTTTGAGTGTGTATATGTGTTTAAATGTGTTATGTAAATATGCACATACTATGTGTGCATATATTCACATGTGCTGTGTACTAGTGTATGGGTGTGGCATGTGTCTGTGTTATGTGCCTAGTGTGAGGTTAAGGCACGCATGTGTTATGTGAGTGTGTGTGCATGCACATACGGGTGTGTCAGCCTATGTGTCAGGGAGCACATGAAGTGTACATGTAGCTGTGTGTGTGTGTTGAAGTGTGTGTGTATGCATGTGTGTAAATGTGTGCGTGGCCACCGGATTGCACAATCTAAGGAACGTAAGGCCGGCTGGACATTCAAACACTCCTCCGCGGTATCAGCAAACAGTGACTTCTGAAAACTCTCTACTCCTCCAAAGCAATGAAAATACTAGAGGAAAACAACTGGAATTGACCTTTTCAGAACTCTGGGAATTACCCAAAGGACTGCAGAAGTCTGGGGAGTGTGACTCCAGGCAGACAACTGAGGCCGGGGACAGCCATCCCCTGCCCGGTCTCTGAGGAGCTTGGAGGCAACAGTCGGGCCAGGCAGGGCTGGTAGAGGCACTGCGGAGACCTGTGGCTGTTCTGCTGCCTGAATGCAGAGCCCTGGAAACTCTACTTGCAGGGCTCTCATGGTCAAGGTCCCCCAGGGAAGCAGCCTTGCCCCCAGGGGGGTTCACTGGACTCTAGGTGGCCGAGGCAGTGGGGAACAGGGAGCAGAAGACCGGAGGGGGCCTGGCTGAAAGGCACTTCCACACGCCTGCCACTCACGCCTGGGGAGAGTGGACTGCACCAAG